CATAGGAACTCACAGAATAATACACAAGGAGGTTGTGTGTATTGCCAAACTAAGAAACCAATATTGGTATAATCCATTGATTTGTGTGCATGTGTGTGTGTGTGTACATGTGTGTGTGCATGTGCGTGTGCATGTGCGTGTGCACCCTTCTGTGGTCTGCAGTCATCTGTTATCAGCAGGGCTCTTCCCCACTGCCCTTTTATAGCTACACTCATTACCTACTCCTTACCCCTAACTCCTGCAACCACTGATTTTTCTTCACCAGCATAATTCTTTTATTCCATCCCCACATGCACAATTCTTTTATATCAAGAATGTTATACATGGAACAAGATAGTATGTAACTTTTCAAAATACCTTTTTTCTCCTTGCTCAGCATGATTCCTTTGGCATCTAGTCAACTTGCTGTCATCTATCAATAGTTCCTTTTTATTCCTAAGTAGTATGCCATGGTTGGATATACTGAAATTTTCTTAACCTTCCATCTCCTAAAGGATATGTGAATTATTTCCAGTCTTTGGCTATTACAAATAAAGGTGCTCTAAACATAGTAGAAGTTCTCTCTTTTCTTTGGTTTGCATGAACATAGATTTTCATTTCTCTGAGCTAAATTTCTGATAGCTTTCTTTTTAAAAGAAACTTTAAAAACCTGGGGTGTTTTATTTCTGATGTATGCAATAAGTAGACTGATAGAACTCAATTAATTTAACGTACATCTTAATCCAATGCCTCTTCTTACACTTAATAGCATAACTGTATTACCTAGTATCTCAGAAAGATTCCTTTCCTCTGTTTTTGGACTGGAAGCTTTAGAAAACTGATTTAGTGTCCCTTCTTACAGAGATAACCTCATGTGCAAACACTGCCATATGCATTTTTTTTGATGCTGCTGATTTTTCAACTATTTTTGTAGTTCTTTTAAAACAACAACAAAAGCAGTAACAAGACCCCCAAAGAATGCAAAGTCCTATTCTCGTCCTTAAGTTTTAAAGTTCTGGCACCTAGGAAAAAGACAAACTTACCCGCTCAATTAACATATCAGTTAATATAGATCTGCTTACTCCTTGAAATTTTAGGTTAGTTCCATCTTTTGCATTAATGGCTTCTCCTAGAACTCCTAAATTCTTGAGTATGAATTTTTCCAGAGGAAGGGAGTGAGAGAAGGTGAGACATCTAAGGAGTGAAGAGTTTCTCTTAGTCAAGAGAGCCAGGAACTTGGGTCACGAGTAGACCTCAGGTGGTGGTGATACTGCTTAGATAGCTGCTCAGATGTGGGTCCTTGGGGATCTTTGGGTGTTTTAAGATAGCTCTTTTTGAGTGAACTTCGTGGGGTCTTACCAGCCGCTGAAGGTTAAGAAAAGCCCTCCAAGAGCTTTCCATTCCAGATGGTGTTAGGAAAGCAAAACTAAACTCCCAGCTGTGGAAGAGGGAGGAGGAATGGACAACCGCTGCCAGCCAAATATGAGCATCTCCCATGACTGGGTCAACAGACACCTCTGGGAGGTAGTGACGGGGCAACACCTGCTGAGAGGGGTTACCACCAAGCTTTATCCTATGAGCTGCAGCTCCAGCAGCAGAATAGAGTCCAACTGCTTAGATATTGCTGTCACTATCTTCTTTTCGGTGCAAGTTATCCTTGAAATGCCCAGGCAGGGCCAGTGAAGCTTCCACACTAAACTGGACAGTATTGACACTGCCAGATTATTTTTCTGCCTACTGGCATTTTTTAAAAAAAGTCTAAATTTTAGAACGAGCTAACAAAATGCTGCAGTGAAAGTTTCTAGGACACTTGAAGGCAGCAGGTGCTCTGTATCAAAGGAGGGGTGGAAGCAAGGTTTGAAGAGACGTGTGGTGCATGTCCTGCTCTCTTGGCTATAGTAATAGTACATGAAAGTTGTATTTAAGGAAGATTTACTTAAAACACAGGAAACAAGTGATGGTAAGAATGTGGAGCAATTAAGCTCCCACATGCTCCTGGGAAGAATGCTACTGGTCATTTGGAGAAATGTGGAAAACAAGAAATGTGCTGAATTGCGTCCTTCCCCAAAATTCAGGTTAATAGCCTATGCCCCAGGACCTTTGACTAGGAATATGTTTAAAGTTAGGGGTTAAAGGGGCAATTAAACTGAAATGAGGTAATTAGAGTGGGCATTAAGGCAACATGGCTGGAATCCCTATAAAAAGGGGAGCTTCGAACACGGACATATACAGGAAAGACATGTAAATACAAAAGGCAGCCAAAGAAAGAAGCCTCAGAAGTACGTCCCACAAACACCTCAGTCTCAGACTTACAGCTTCCACATTTGTGAGAAAATAAATTTCTGGTGTTTAGGACACACAATCTATGGTTGTTAGGGCAGCTCTAGCAAACCAATACAAAGTACCAACACTATAACCCAGCAATTCTACTCCTGGTGCATCCACAGAAGATGCAGAGGTTTGTTCCACCAAAGACATATCTACTTATGTTCAAAACAGCACTTTTTACAGAGTAGTGCTGAAGTAGAGATTGCTTGAATAGCCATAAACTGTAGAATACATAAATTAATTGTGGTATATTCACATATGGAACAGCTTAGAGGAATAAATACTATAAAACAACACACATGAGTCTCACAATGAAAATGTTGACAGAGGCAGACACTAAGAGCTCATAATGCATGATTCACTTCATTAAGTATACAAAACCGATGACTCTATTTTTTAGTAGTATAATACAGCATCATATTTACCTTTGGGGAGAGCATGGTAACTGGAAAACAGCAAGAAGAGGGACTCTTGGGGTGCTAGGAATGTTGTGTTTTTGATCTGGGTGGTAGTGATTTGGGTGTGTTCCATGTGTCAGAATCCAGTGAGCGGTACAATTAATATAACTTCACAGAAAGTGTTATGTTTCAAAGCAAAAGGTTTAGAAGGAGGTTTTCTATAACCAAATAGGACAGGATTTCCTCATCCCATTAACTGCCTGTTTTTGCTTGAGGGAGAGAAAAAGAAGGCACTGTTCCTGCCTCAAGTCTGGTGAGAGGACATCAAGAGAACACTCAGGCAAGTCCTGTCCTTGAGAGCCTGAGGGCGAGAAACCTAAAGAGCCAGAGCTGAGCCTGACCACGGCTCCAATGGCGGACTACATGAGAGGCTCTGAGGCTTGGGGCTATGTGCGCTCATGTTTGTCACGTGGACATGTCCTGTGACCATTTCCGGGCCCGCTTCCCTGAGTGAACTGGTGCGGAGAATCAAAGTCTCTCCAAGAACTTCTCAAGCCCAAAGCTGGATCTATTGCTGGAATACTGTGTGTGAGTCAAAGAAAATACAAACTTGGAGAAGGACTCAGGTACATCTGTCACCAGTGGGCTACCTCCAGCAATGCGGGCAGTTCGGGTGAGGTCTGAGGAACACATCCAGAGTGAGGGCTAGCTGGTGACAGTTTTGGTTTAGTTAGAACCTTCCTGACTCATTTGCTTCATATGCCCTGGCCCAATCAAGGAAGGTTTAGAAACCCCTAGTTAGCCAAGGGCGATGTTTTGTGTTGCGTTTACCAATATGTTCCAAACTGAGAGGGAACAACCACTCAAATTTTAATTATAACTCAGCCATCACACACCTGGTGGAGGCTGTGGCCCAGGGAAAGACAGTGAGACCTACAGAGCAATGTATAAACTCACACTACTCTCATAACTTAAACTTAGGATGTTCCTCCTGTCCAAGCACTACATGTGATCCAGAAGTTGAGCCAGTTCCAGGCCATTTCTTCAGTATGGAAACCACAGGGGGCTGTGTTCAACAGGAATAGCGGTGAGACAGAAGATGAAACTCAGGAGAACCTGGAGAGACCAGAAAGAGACCCATGCCAATATTAAAACACGGATTCAGGAGAAAGGAGGTTTGGTGGTTGAGGCAATGAGTTCAACTGAGATGTACTGAATTTGTGGTGCCTCTAGGATATGAACATGAGAATTTCTTGGACTGGGACTAACTGGATTGGTATCCATAGGTGCAGGTGATGTAGGTTCCCAAGAAGAAACTTGGAAGATTAATTTAAAGAGTGAGAAGCCTATAAAGAAAATACAAAGTAAGTAAAAAGATAGTGTGAAGTGTGACTTAGTCCCTTGAAGAAAAAAGTGATCAACTATTGCAAAATTCTAGAAATGTTAGAGAAATCAGATGACCCTAGTAATAGAAGAGTGACCACCTTGTGAAAGGAGTTTAGAGTGAAGGGCTAAAAATAGTGAAACAAATGAAAAGGGAGATGAAAAGATACAGGTAATCCACATGCACTACTCCTTGGGGAAAGAGGGCAAAAGCGTGAACATACACAGGATTAAAGGGAAGGATCCTAACTTTTTTGTGCGTGCTACGACCTTCTTTGCTGTCTGGAGATGCCTATGGATCCACTCTCAAGGATGTTTTTAAATACAAAGGAAAATATAAACAATTATGAAATAAACAAAGTAATACTGAAAAACACCTAAGCAATTAAAAATTGTGATAGAATACATCTCAATATATGTTTATTAATGCATTAAATAATAGGATTTATTGGCATGAATAGTAGCTACCATCATTTCAAAACAGTGATGAGTACAAATGATACTCTAAGATACCTTCAGCAATCTTGTATAATAAAATATTACCTATGATTCTAGGGACAATGTCATAGGCAGATTATTGAGGTTTTGTGTCTACATATAATACAACAATGATTTAAATTTTAGAAAGAAATTGATTAAAATAAAGATACACACATATGTGTCTATATGAATGTGTTTCTATCCAAATTAACTAGTTCCATAGGATTCTATCCACAGATCCACTGAGGGAGGGAGGGAGGGATCCAGTGATCTCAAGGCACCTCTTCCGAAGGGAAGAGATGTCTTCTTTTTCTATGGAGAGAGGGGAAGTTTTCAGTCTTGCTCTGGCAGAGTGATGATACCATGTAGGGGTGTAGGGTACAGCTGGAGCTAGACTCTTTGGGTTTAAATGCTGGCCCTACTGTTTATTACCTGGTGGGAGGCCAGTTATTTAATCATGAAACTTCATGCTTCTGTTTCGCTTCCTGTAAAATGAGAAAGATAACAGTAACCCACCTCATAGGTGGTTTTGAAAGTTGAAGAAAACACTTCAGCTATTTTTTGTCTTAACCATGTCTACTCTTTCAGCATCTCTGGCCACCTGGGATGCCTGCAGGACATGAGGCACAGCATTCTTCTTCCCTCCAAATCACTGTGCCCGCCATGTTTTTTGGGGAGACTCTCCCCACTGGCTTCTTCTCACCCACTGGGATGCAGCTTAAATTCTTCTCTCCCCAAAAGTACTTTCCTAGAAGCCTTTCTGAAATAGGCCTCTCGCCATCCTTCATCACGGTTTGTCCTCATTTTGTTAGTTGTTTCGTCTGCGGTACGCTCCATAATGGCCAGGGTTGTGTCTGTCTTGATCCTCTACCTGACCCTGTGCCAAACAAAAGTCAGCTCTCTCTACGTATTCAATCCACCAGCCACTGAATAGGGAGCAATGGAAAATACAAGGGAGCTCCCTGCTTACGTTCATGCCGGTGGGCACGGCATCCACTTTCCATGTGGGTATGGATTTTATTAGTTTGTTCTCAGTCACATTCTGGAGCTGGTGGAAAGCCAGACACACTGCTTACATTAAAATGTTTACAAGGTAACATTCAGCTTTTCCTCAAGCACTAAAGGACCCTCATGCTATTGTCAGCTGAAATCCACATGGGCAGTACACACTCAGAGGCAATGTTTCTACCAAGCCCGTGTAGATATCCACGTACCATCCAGAAGCCCCTAGTCCTGCCTGTTCATGTTTAACTGGGTGATTTTACTCAAGTCTACCTTGTTGAGTCTTGGCGTTTTCGTCTTATAAATGGTAACTTAAGTGTATTTGCTGTGGCAGAGACTGCTAGCTATCCACCTAAATCCATTTTTCTCCACAAGGTCTAGCCTACCATTCCAAACTTCCCTTGAGGGGAAGGGCTTAAAGTCCTACCAACAGAATGCCAGCACTTGTACCCTCTGCTTACTTGCTCAAGAGCCTTTACTTGCAAGCTGCGTTCTTAAATGACTGCAGAGAACACAGCCATCCAGTGACGTGCAACCTTCAGCTAGAAATGTTAAATAAATGACAAAGAACTATGCCACTAACTTTCTGGAGTACATTTGTAACAACAGCTAGTGTTTCCATGACTAATACATATGTCCCAACTACATTATAGAGCTGTGAGAAATAGTAGATGTAATAATGTATGGGAAACAGCCTTCGGAGGTGTAAGGGCTATAAAAATTTGTCATCACTGTATTAATACAGAGGAAACAAATATCTAGTAGAATGTCTGACATAGGGTCCATATTTAATACTTATTTATTGATGAATAAATGAACGTCTTGCTGAAAACAGCCATGGATTTAAAAAAACTCTACACAACAGCACTGGTAAGTTATTTATTTGCACAAGGAGTATGTTTGATACACTTGCATTCATGCTAGTGAAAAAAAAAACAAAACAAAAAACCCAAAATAATAGCAACAACAATAAAAACAAACAAAACCTTCTGGATATATGCATCCTGCAAGAAGGTCCTTATTTTTCTATTACTTTTTCCATCAACAGTAAGTCATAAAGTACTGAAGATTATTTTGACAAAGGAAAATAGGCACTTAGTCCCACCACCCGAACTCTGCTCTTTCATTTTTGCCCACTGCTTTCCATTATCCACATGTGTGCCTGCCTTTAATAGCTGTAAATCTGTTCCTTCTTCTCTTTGTTTTTTAAATACCTTTTAATATGTATGCAGTGAGGACAGCACAGCCATGGTAATTCCCCAGAAATGATTTCAACAAAGAACCACCTAATATTTCTCAATAGTTCCAATTTAATTTTGCCAAGGGGTTCCATTCCTATTAAAACACATACTGTGGAGAGGTGTTTTTCATAAGAAAATACACGGGGGTGTTAATTCTCACTACAATTAGAGTGATCAAGATGACAAATGTCACAATTTCCCATTTTCTATTTAATGGCTATCTCGTGGGTCTTACAAAGATTATGCGAAGGGTAAATGAGTACACGGAGACCATATTCAATGGCCACAATGAATTCAATGATTAATTCAACAAATACTTATTGTGTACCCACTATGCCTGAAGCAGAATGTGGATTATGAGAGAGAAGGCACCACCTCTAGCCTTGAAAAGGTTCTATAAGGTAGTGGTGCGAGGTAAGAAGCAGTAGCAAGGTGTCTGCAGTAGGGGTGAGGACAGGTCAGGCTCCTGGAGAAAGCGATACCTGGCATAAGTTAGACAGGTGAGGAGGTAGAAAGGAGTGCCACGCTCCCCAGACACGTGGACCAGAGGTGAAGAGGGAACAGCACGGGGTCGCTGGCTGCAGGCTCTTCTCCCTGACTGCAGATTAACAGCATCCATGGGGAGCGAGTGAGTGAGAGTGGAGCAGCAAGCAGAGGTTGGGTCATAAGAAACGAAGCTTCATCAGAGCAAGGACGGGGTCTGCTGAGCAAGGCCTGGGATGGTACCTGGCACAGAGGGGTGTGGTCTGCACTGTGGGATGAACTCACCTGCACCCCGCCATGCAGGTGAGTCATTGTTGTCACGGCCCCTGGGCTCCGGGTGCAAAGGAAGAGCGCCCATGGCTGGGGCTGGGGACTGCTCTTCCTCAGGACTCGTTTCCATGCGGGGCATGTCAGGCGACATCTGCTTCTCAACACAGGGCCACCGCATTGTTCTTCTTGGTCCATCTGACCGCTGCTGAACAGCAGGAGCAAGGCAAACCTGAGACGTGCCCGAGTCAGAGATGCCCAGTCCGGGCTGGCTTCTTAGCCACATTCATTGTTAACAGCCTCGAGGATGCCACGAACATTGCCCCCCAAGGCACGGGAAAGGAGAGACTCCGGTGCCACCTTCAGACCCGTAGTTTAGAAAGAGAGTTGGCTTGAGCGGGAGAGAGGTCAAGGGAGGGGCCAGGTGCCAGGGAAGGCTATGAAGACCTTGACCTCCCCACTGATCTGCCTGCATCTTTACTGGCAATAAAATTGCACATATTTAAGGTGATGTTTTGATATCTATACACAGTACTCTGAATGATGCTTGCCACAAAAAGCTAATGAACATATCCAGCACTTCACCTAGTTGTTGTGTGTGTGCATCTGTCTGTGTGTGCGTGTGTGTGTGTGGTGCCAACATTCAAGATCTAGTCTCTTAAGAAATTTCAAGTATTATCATCCCTTTCGTTTCCCTTCCATCCCTCCAGCTCGCCTTTCCCTCTGAACAATTACTTAGTATTTCATGTTCATTGTGCATTTTGGTTCATATTTCAGTTTCTCACCCCAGAGAGACAATGTGATATTTATACATATGTATCCAATTTATTTCACTGAAGAATGTGGTCTCAATGTGCAACCACTTAGCTAGAAATGGCTCACATTTATCCTTCTTTATGGCTGAGTAGTACTCTATTGTATAAAAAACCCCACATCTTTTTCATACATTTGTTGATTGATTGGCATTTGTGTTGCTTCCAAGATTTAGCTATGACAAACTGTGCTGCTATAAATGTGGGTATGCGTATATTGCTGTGGTGTGATGTTTTTAATTCTTTTGGGAAGGTACCAAGGAGGGGAACAGCTGGGCTGGATGGAGCCTCAAGTCTTAGTTCTGTGATCACCGCTCACTTTCTACATGGGTGTGGTTCCAGGCTCCCCAGGGGATACCAACATCTGAAGAAGATCAAGTTCTCCATATTAATTGGTATAATATTTGCATATAATCTACATACATCTTCCCACAGACTTTAAATTATCTCCATATTACTCATAACATCTCATATAATGTAAATGCTACAGTCCTACCTTGGCGCTTAACTGCTTTGAAACTGTCTGTGGTACTCCATACATTCTGACTCAAAACTTTGGTACTTGTCATTTATTTGGTACTCAATGCACAAGATAGAATTTTGGTGTTGATTATCTGGTGACTTGCTACCCTTTCAAGCCAAAACAACTGTTTGGTGTTCACCATTTTTGGTTCTTTTCACATCTTGTGGAGCCAATTAATGGTGTGTATTGAGGCAGCACTGTACCTAATTATTATACTGCATTATTTAAGAAATAATGACAAGATAACAAGTCCTATTTTTTGCCCACGGTTGGTTGAATCCATGGATGCAGAAGATGAGAATATACAGCCCACCGTCTATAACACAGTACTATCAACTGGAGTCATCATCCTGTAAGTGAGGCCTGTAGGTCATCTTATGATTGAAGGTTTGCATTCTTCGACCATCACTTCCCTATTTCCCCATGTCTAGACCTTGGTTGCCTTACCCTTGCTTCTAGGCCTCAGAACTACTTTTAGTTGTACCTAAACATCAATGATGACAAAATGCCAGCAGGAAATGAATAGATTAACAAGACAGGTCTAGCCATCATTTGTAAGCAAAACCAGACTTCACTTACAACAGCCCAGCAGGGAGGCTTAATTTGGAAACACTTTGCCATTGCTCTACGGGGCACACTAAAAATCCGTGGTGCCACTGACTCAGGGTGGGAGGGCTCATGGATTCAGCTGCTGAAGCGCGATGTGAAATTAAAAAGAGAATGAAATGTGTGATGTTATTTAATCACACCAAGTGCTTCAATTTCTCAATAAAAGCACCCTGTTCTCCTGTGTCAAATTGGACACACACACACACACACACACACACACACACACACACACAGATGAATTATAGGTAGGGGATGGATTAACTCTCAACTGCCTAGTAATCAGTAGCAGGGATCTGAAATGCAAATGACAATTGAGTTTTCTCATAAGTTCTCAGGGTCAATCACTCCAGGATTTGGACCAACATAAAACGGTCAAACTGTGAGATAAACCCTGAAATATCACTTCCTTGAAGAGGCCAAAAACTCAGGGTCTTTGGCTGTGGTGTGACTTGGGGAAGAGAATATTTTAAAACCCCTAATATATTCTCAGTCACATTCTCCTTTTGCTGTGACAGCTGAGCAGGTGACTTATGCTGCTTTAGATTTCA